CTTCCACTAATCATCTAAATCCAAATAAATTGTTACATTATTGTATAATTGTAAGCATTTGATAGCAGTTAATGCCCCATCGAGCAACATGTAATTCATTGAAAGCTAGGAAAACTATATAAAATATAATGGTCTCTATGGGTTTGGTTTTATTTTGTTTAACTCCCTATGAACAGTTAAGGTCGTGTTTTTTTTGTTTTTTGTTTTGATTTATTTTGTAATATGGGTTGTTCCTCTGATGACAGGAAGCACAGACATGATTCTGAAAATGTTTATTTCATTTCATTTACTACACGTAGACCTTATCAGGTTTCGTCCTACTGAACGCTGAATACAAACTGACTGGCTGGTCATGAATGAGTATTAATGAATTGAATAACACACTAATTTTCTTGGATAGTCTGCATGGTGTTTTTGTTTAATTTAAACTTCTTTCAGTTGAAATTTTATGAAATATTAACAGTATCAAATACAGATATCTCATTGTATTGATGTACCATCTACCATAATGATCAAAACTCAAACAAAACAAAAGAGGATAGATAAGTAAAAAAACAAAAACAAAAGACAATGTATTTCAATTACCAAAAAGTTTTAAACCAGATTCAGTTATGCTCTCTTTCCCACTGCAGGCAAAACACAAGTGATTTCCACTGTAGGTTCTATCTTCCCTTAGTATATACCTGTAGCCAAGTTGGTTAGAGCGACAGTAAAATGATGAAATGAGCAACAGTCCAGGGTTCGAGCCCTGGTCTGACCTCATTATAATTTTACATTCGGATCATTTTTCATTGATATATTTTTGATTATCCATTCTCTATTTCATTTCTTTCTTTACATTAAAATTTAATAACTTATCATGTGTCAAGCCAAAAGAAGTCTCAGTGAATGGTTATATTTTATGACAGCGGCACATGGATCCTTAAGTTCATTCCCGTTTAACCTGTTTTTTATTTATTGTTATCTAGGTATGCAGCTTCAATGCACATGCCAAAGACTTTGCGACTATGGTACTAGTGCAGCGGGTGCTTGTAGCCTTAAAGATAATAGCGTTGGGATATTATGTTGCCCGCGGTGACGTTGCTATGGCGTATTTCATTCCTTTATTCACTAACAGGTATGTGAAACTAATAACATGTATCTTAAATGGTTCATTTTAAAAAGGAAAGTTCTGAAATAATTTCCGTTCTATATCAAAATGTTATAATATAAGTATTACAGTGAAGCCCTTCTAATAAAGCTAATTTTGTTTCGAGCTACCATTGCTGAAGGATGAAACCGATTCATCACATATATCAGACCAATTGCTTAAACCGATATAAAGGATCTGTCATAAGTTTCCCTTCATATTAGATTTATGATACAAGTATTGAATTGTTCATGTTTGCGAGCCTCAGGCGAACAAATATAGTAAAATCATAAAACGTAAACCAAATATTTTGAAACTTTTTTGCAGGGAGGAAGTGGAAAAGGACTTCAATCCTGAATTTCAAATTATTCACTTTGAATTGTGAGAATAGTTTATATCATTAAAATTGTTCTTCAAAACGTGTATTGTTTTATATGAAACTACGGTCTGTATATTTTGATATACCTGTTTTTAAATTGCAAGTGATATCTGTATTATCAATCATAGTTGATAATTTTTTCATAAATTTATTGACATATGCAACTGTTTTTTTTTTTTTTATTTTAACTACCTTGACCATTCTTTCATGACCGCCTAAACTAAGATTCCCTTTATCCATGATCAACCTTAAAATATATTGGTTCTATTTTTGCCCAATAATTAAAACATATTGCCACACTGTACGTTATCCTGGCAAAACTGTGACATCGTTAAATAATCAGCTTTTATGTTAAACAGTGATTGTAATACTAAAGCGTTATCAGGTAAACAGTTTAATATGTCAATATCACATTAAGAATATACAACTATATTATGATGAGGTGCTTAAATCATAGGAATTCTACTTTTAAGGTGCTATCGATATGTTACTTTGATCGGTGCTGTATCAGGATACAAAAAGTCAGTTCGATTCAAATGCTTGAATACTACTGAAATTAATTGTAGGAAGGGAGGCAACTAAGTTAGTTACGGTTTGTCTGAACTAAAACATATAAACACTATAAATATATATAATATGTATACTTGTAGAAGGATCACTGTTTCACTGCAGGCAAAACAATAAAAGATTCCACTGTAACTTTCGTACTTAGAGTACCCTCCCCTTTGGATATAACTAGTGCAACTGAGCTAAGGTAGCAGGGTTGACCAGATAGTTCAATTGAGCGACCATACATGTATGCTTATCGAGTGCCGAGGGTTCGAATTCGGGTCTGGCCCATTTGCATATTTTTACACTCATACATTACATTATCGCCGTTTTTTTTGTTTTTTTTATTTATTTCTATAAACTTTCTACAATGTATCAATGCAATAATCATACACGCAAAATAATCTCCACACATAGGTACAGTTTTTGATATCGGTATGGGGATCCTTGAGACCTTTTCTTGGTGATTTATCATGACTCTTGCATAGCCCAGTATTTGATCGGTTCGTAAAAATTAGCACCCTCAGGTTCAACCTCTACAAACCGCTCTTAATTTAATAAATAACAACGGTTTAGTGGTTATTGATTTCACACATTTATTTCAATTCAAGAATGATATCAAAATAAACAACATGATTTTCATCCAACATCGTGTTAACTTTTTATCCTTCCTTACTGATAAACTGAAGATAACGCCTTGTGTTTGCTGTTGAAGTCATCTCTTCAGGTCATACATGGACAATTAAAAATGTTTTTTTTAGAATCATTATTAACCAGAAGGCGTTACCAAGACATATTTATATATGTAAGTACATGTATAATTATTTAAAGTGATATAGAAAAAATAAAGGTGGGTGGATTGACTAAATGTAACACAAAAGTGTTGAACAGATCATATGTTCTCTCATCAATTGTGAATATAAAGATTATTTCACCTCACCTTAAGACAACATAACTTTTCGAAATTAAATATGTTAAGCATAAATCAAGTTTTTGAAATAAGTAAAATGTCAGAAAGCAAGATCTTCCTGGGCTATCTTAAATAAGGACAATATCTGTATTGCATATCTTGCATACATTGAGGAATTATCTTATACACTAAATGAAGTTTAAACAAGCCACTAGTATCAACCGCTTATCACTTTCATCTGATGCTATTTTTTACAGGAAAAGTCTTCATAGTAATGCTTCAATTCAGGTAAGCGATGAATAAAATTGAAAAAAACGCTTATTGTTTAAAGAAGTACCAGGCATATTTTTTATTAGTTAGATATATACCATGTGGATATCTTACATTAAATCAATGAGCTATTCAAAGAGCACTATCCGCTCCAACGGTAGTAGCGTGGTAACACTGTCTGTCCTCCACACCGAACACGATATAGTCTCCCTGGTCGCTCATACCTCATACATTGGCGCTTACAGGGGCATGGTATGTTCCATGGCTGACCTGTATCAGGTAATATAAAATAAACCATTAGTGACAAAAAGTTAAGTAAGCAGTAGACAGTGTCAACGCACATGGGAAACACAACTATAGACTAAGGAAACTAATAGTTCTCATTTAAAAATATTTTATTAAATCTATCCGATTTAGTGGGAATTGGGCAACAGGCAATGCTTATACAAGCCCTTTCCCTGGAGGTACATCTCAAACAATGTGAAGTCAAGTACCTACTGTATTTATTTAATTATTAAAAGAATTTAATGATGAGTTTTTACATTTTATTAAAATATTTGCAAAGAGGACTATATTTTGACGTGTAGGGTTGTCTAGACATGCTATTGGTAAAGGGATCAAGATCAAGTATTGTAATCTTGATGTGTCGTATCTCGTTCCGGGGTAGGTTTCCGTGAAAAAAATGTAATAAACAGTATATCTAATAGTGTCTTCAGTAAAACCAAATATATTTTACGAGTGTGGCTGGTATTTTGATATCTTTCACGAGTGCGCAGCGCGAGTGAAATATTTCAAATGTTAGGAGCGACTAAATATAGTTGGTATTACTAAAGACACTGTTAGATATCCTCTATATGTCACCACACTAATACACAACAGTGTCAACGCACAGGAAAGCATATACCATAGTGTCAACACACAGGAAAGCATATACCATAGTGTCAACGCACAGGAAACATACAATAATGCCGGCACACAAATACACAACAGTTACAAGATACAGTGTCAACACACTGGAAACATATAGTTGCAACACAAAGGATTGCAGAGGAGCTCCTGAGGGGAATATCCGTTCTAAAAAGCATATTTATTCAACAGGTTCATTCAACAATTACTGAAAATATCTTTTAAGTTCATTGAATAGATACACTTTGTGTGTGTTTTTCGTCCGTGGTATCTAATCTTCCAGAGTTGTGATTGGTCGAAAAGATGAACTTTGACCGGGATTACTGTTTTCACGCGCTTTGTGCCACGTCCTATTTTGTTTACGTCGTCTGCTGCCAACATGGCTGCTTTTCGTGAAGAAGGGCTGCCTGCAAATGTCGGTGACTTCGTGGAGTTATAGGATGGAGAAGAGGGAATGATTAAAGCAATGTCAAAAGATGATGATACTTAAGGATTTGATCGCTATAAAGTTGAATTAGTTTTAGGCAAAAATGCTACAAAATTGCTACCTACGACACAGCGAAACATTTGAGTGCCTAAAATAAGTAAGTTTATAGTACTACACGCCATTGGCGCACTAATTAAATGTCGATTTTACCACCATTTCTTATGTATCTTTGATGTATGATCAATGTGTACTAATATTTCATGCTTTGCATTAATTCATCAAAATAAACCTGAAGTTTAACAAGTAATAAGCACTGAATTACATTAAGTTTGGCATGTTAACCTCACTAAATTTCAAACCGGTATTAATGCTGTTAACGTGGAACAAGCGTCGGTTGTTGATCCGGGAAAAGAAAAACTGAGAGAATGGATTACAAAACTATGATGATGTTTATTTACAATGAAAAACATATAAGCATTAAATATATACCATACACCCTCACAATCTCACACACTCTCTACAATAAAGTAATAAATTGTATATGTAGCTTGACGCTTCACACACGGCCACGACGATGATAAATACCAAAGTTCTCAGGAACCACAACAAAGTTCCCACAACAGTCACTGACTCGTGACCCAGCTCAATCCAGAGCCAATATCTTCAAGCAGTTCCATGCTTGTATACACCTTGCTAGGTAACCGCACTAGTGTCCATGACACGACAGCACACCACAATGGTTGGTTGGTTCTCAGAAGAACAGTCGCTAATAAAGTCGCCGACCTTGGCCTCCATGATGATCTTCATACATAGCCCCTTCGCTGGCCTAGACCCTGGTGAAAGATAACCCTCTTGGTCGGTCCTGATGCTCAAGTAGCAATATGGGTGGGAACACCTGCCCGGTCCTGACTTACTTGTTGAGACTGCTAACCCGTCATGCGAAGCTACAATAAGTTAATTGACGAACATAGTTAACCTCATCACTCACGTTTTCATACTTTTCTAACGCATAGCCTAAGTCCTGAATAATAATCAAGTGTACCCTATTTAATTAACGATAATGTAAACTATCCTTTATAAGTTACTAGAATATGTTTAAATACGCAGAACTAATGTGCGGCTCCAATTTATACACGAAATAACACAAAAAAGCACAATCCGCAAAATGACACCTCAAGGCTTCCATAAGCACGTACCCACTACACTCAACACTGTAACAATATAACTGGGTTTCCATATATTTATGAATAGGTAAATCATACGATACAAACTAGATAATTTCATATACAACAATCACATATATTCATATAGTCAATATATGATACTAATACATCCACAACATATGAAATCTAGCATAAAAACAACATAAATACAACACATTCCTACCTAAACGCTAAACAATGGTCACGGCTGACTGGAGCGCACAAATACCTAGATTGTTTGACCCGATAATAAGACGGTACAATACAATAATACCAACTAAAACAGAACAGAGAAAGAGTGAAAGTACACTTACCACAGTCTGTATTCTGTGCCTGTTCCACATGCCGTAATATTTCGATAATCCATACCGGGTACACAAGCCACAGAAACAATGTATGTCGCTATAAACAGCTCACCCCGTGCACGTCTACCCGTGACGCATTTCCGCCAAACAATCCCTAACTATTAAGGTTACTTACCCCGGTTATAAATGACACCATACACTATACTTAAAAATGAACTCCGTACAAAATATTAAATACAATCTATCAACCAAAACATACATGTTTGCGGTTCCATTAAAACACAACAGTTAAATGTGTTGAGATATGAAGTGGTTTCCAACATGTCATTCGTTGAATAACGTTTTGTCTTTCAATCAATATTTACTCAAATATTACGTGACAAAATTATCTATGGTCATAGACATATCATTAGAGATAAGAGAAAATATTTCATAACAATTTGATAAATGTTAAATATTGTTTCCAAATCCAACGAAAATAGTTTCGAAAATACTCTTACCTCTCATAAAAATTAAACTTAACAGCATGTTGTCAAAAGTTCATTCCATTTATTTGATTAAATCTTGTTTAGTTTTTAGTTCCAAATGTGAACATTAAGCAACATTTCATCAGCACATTTGAGTTTGTAGTTTGATGTTAAAATATTTCGAAGCTAACTTATTAGTAGTAGTATACTGGGGTTGTAACTTGCCCACTATCCCACTACCCAACTTTGTGGTACCAGGTACCCCTGCCCCCACCCGTCCCCGTATGAGGTGTTAGGTACTCCCAGGTACCCCTGTCCCCACTTGCCCTGGGAGTACCAGGTACCCCTGTCCCCACTTGCCCTGGGGGTACCAAGTACCCCTGTCCCCACCGCCCCGGTATGAGGTGTTAGGTACTACCAGGTGACACCACCTGCCCCGGCTGTTGTGTGGAACTCCCAGGTGAATCCGTCCCCGTCCGTCTCCATATGTTAGTATGTGGTACCAACCATAGGTACAAGTTTACCTGTATCAATTTATTTAGATGTCTGTAGATAAAAATCAGTACGACTGTCCACTTCAAGGTGATCGTGGTGTATTAGATCGGCTTTAGATACCGGCGTAAACTTGAGGTTTTTGAAGTAAAACCAATGTTCATGATGTAATACTTACCATAACTTTAGTATGCATATACAATACCTACACCCATCTTTGTAGCCCAAAAACAAAAGATTCAAATATCCCTACCTCCCTACCATGACGTAACCCATATCTCGACGACAGAGCCACGGAGTGATCTCCCTTCCTCAAACCCCCTTTTATGAAGCCTAAAGGCAGCCGTGATGAGGAGGCAGGGGGAGGAATACAGGGTGGGAATCCATACAGTTATGGTAAGTATTACATCATGAAAATTGGTTTTACTTCAAAAGCCTCAATTTCATTTCAGTAATAATTACCATAACTTAAGTATGCGAATTCGTCTTACCGTAGTGGAGGCTTCGAATCCAGGCAGACCAGGCTGACGGAACAAACTCAAGACATGCTCAAGGTAGGGAAAAGGTTCAAGGAACCCCCCTAATTAAGCCCCGAAAGTAATTAAAAAATGGAAAACCTCCCCGTGATACGAGCAGGTATACCACCGTGGTGCCTGATAGCATACTATTAAAAATCACTGAATTATTGTGGAGGAACAGCCACAGACTGTGCAACCACCACCGGTCCAAGGGAATATAATCCATCAGAATGAGAAGCCAAGGACCGGAGATCAAAATCTGGGAAGGTAGTCTGTCCGCGCCAGACGGCCGCGGACATGACCTCCTGAAAGGGGGACCCATTGAGGAGGGCCCATGACGCAGCAAGGGCCCTGATCTCATGAGCTCTCACCTTATACAACGCCCGAACCCCTGATCATCCGAGTGGCCGTAACCGTACTTGATGACCTGACAGATCCATCTAGACACTGACTGAGAGGAAATTTCCTGTTGACCCTGCTTAATGAGCAAAAACAGACGAGATCGAAGACGGAATCTTAATCGGATCGGGCGAGAAGCCAGGAACCTGATTCTTAGCCATAAAGGCAGGATAAGTGAGAAGGGTAACGGCAGAGTAATTCCTGGACCAACGGAGGCACGAGGGGTAATAAGACAAGGCATGAATCTCACTTCTCCTTCGACCTGAGCCCAGTGCAATAAAGAATACCACCTTGAAGGTAACAAACTTCAAGGAGGCATACGCTAAAGGCTCATAAGGTGCCCGCATCAGCGATACGAGCACCAGTGGCAAATTCCACTGCGGAGCCAACTGCCGGACCCTAGACCTGTTCAACCCAAACCCTCTAATCAAGGCAGAAAGAGAGGAGGACGAGCCTCCCTCCGACCTACCATGAACAGAGAGAACACTAGCAATGGCCGTGCGATAACCAGCGATAGTGCCAGGGGCAAGATTGCGGTCCCTAAACAGCCAAAGATGGAAGTCCGCAATCACCTGGACAGTAGCCTTGATCGGATCAACCTTCCTGCCGACACATTGATCACAGTAAATCTTCCATTGTGACTGGTAGACGGCAGATGAGGAAGACCTAATTGATCGAGCGATGCGATCTGACACGTCCCTAGAAAAGCCTGCCTGAGCAAGGCCTCCTGAGATAGTTTCCACGCGTGAAGGTGGAAGATCTCCGGACGAGACTGCATCGTCCTGGACCGAGGCTGGCGAAGGAGGTTCACTCTGAGAGGAAGAGCCAGGGGCTCTTCCACCAGAAGCGACAAAAGCTCCGGAAACCAAGGCTGCCTCTAAAGTTCTAGTTGTTCGGTATATCTGAAACATGGTAAGAATAATCGACTTGTTAATCTAAAATCACATCTGGCTGCCATTTCGAAACTTATTTGAGGCACTTAAATTCAACTTCTAATTGGTTGGTAACTTTTAGAGATGATCTCATGAAATTAAAAGTAAAATTACTTCCTAGGGCGATCTGGAATGAAATCATAGTATCTAAATACATAAGTAGGATATAAGTTTCATTATAGGAAAGGAGGTAGTTTTTGCTAGAATCAGAATAAGACATACATGTTTTACTCTTGCACGCTTGCTTAATGGTGAAGTGAAAACCTGTAATCGGGCAGTCTCGTTGGTCTCTGGGTCCAAGGGTAGGGTTTTGGCTACTAAGCCTAAACCTACAGCCACGACCGTTAGGCGCACTGCACCTAAACGCCGGTACGGAGAGCCTTCTTTCGAGTTGGCCCCACTGGCTGGCCCATTTCCTCCGCCCGAGGCTTTTGGTCTGGATGGTGTGGAGGCTATGGACGTTGAGGGCGCGGGTATGGCAGAGGACGATGATGTTGTTCATCTTTCACCTGGTTGCTCGGAGATAGACGCTGGTCTTTCCGAATCGTCTGATGACGGTCCTCAGGAGGGCTTGCCCTTAGAGGAGGACTTCCAGGATGAGGGTGGCCCTGAGGCTGCTGAGGCTGAGGCCCAGCATGTGTTGTCCGGTATGCGGGGCCTTAGGGCCGACGTTTCCCGGATTCTTGGGGAGGAGGTTTGCCCACCACCTTCGGCGTCATCTGTCCCCGAGTCTTTTGTTCTTTGGTGGCTCCCCGGGTGTCCGCTCGGTCGAACCGCTCTCTGCCAGAAGGCACTATTGTGTCTTCAGCTCTGGCCACCGCCCAGTCTCGGGTTTTAGAGAAGAATTCTTCTTCAATCCGTAGACCTGGGCATGCTGGGTTGCAGCTCAGTGTTGGCGATTTGTCAGAAATGCACGCCACTGACTATGCCACACATACTGGCCTGCTTGCCCCTCAACCAGCTAAGCTGGAATCGAGGGAACTTGCAGCCTGGCCCGGTAAATCGGCAGACCAGGGGGTGTTCGGTCCCAAAGAACACCACAAGATGGAGAGACTGCTGCGTCTCTCCATCCAGATTCTGTCTTATATAGACTACCTAACGGTTTGTCTATATAGGGTATCCGATTTGCCTGAGGGTCGGATTACCGAGACAGAGCAGGCCGACATCCAGGACAGAGTGACCTCTGCCCTGAACGGGGCATTGAGAGCGCTGACAGCTTTACAGGTGTCATCGCTCGTCAATGTCGTGTTGGCTAGGCGGTTTTCAGTTTTGAAAAACCACCCAGACGATGAGCCTTACCGCTTCAGATTGTTGACTGCCCCCTTCTCAGGGTCCACTCTTTTTGGAGGGGACCCTCCTTCTGTTCAGAAGGATTTGAAGGAGGACTGTGCACTTCTGGTGAAGAGGATTCAGGCTGAGAAGGCCAGTACCTCGCAGGGGGCAGCGCCTCCTAAGAAGAAGGCTAAACATTCGGCTTCGCAGTCCTCTGCGCAGCCCAAGTATAAGCCTCCCTTCAGGGGCAACAAATGGAAGGGTAAGAAGGGTAAGAACCCTCCTGGGGGTAAGAAGAAGGGTTCCTGACTCTCTTCTGCCCTCCTTGGTCGTGTCAGACGACGAGTTTGGTCGGGAGGACTGCAGTCCTCTCGGCTCAAGCTAAGGTCCTTCTCCCGCAGGATTAGGCTTCGGGTCAGCAGACGGTTCTCTTGCCTGGCAAGGTATCGATCTGCCTCGACCAGATCTTCCTGTGGGGGTCGTCTTTCTGCTTTCCTTCCAGAGTAGAAGGAAATTACGGAAGACGCATGAGCCTTGTCTGTGATCAAGGAGGGGTTAGGCATTCCGCTAATCTTTCTTCCTCCACCGGGGGATCCGGAAAAGGCTCTGACGCTCCAGGAGGAAGTATGGACCATGCTTACCAAGGGCGCGGTCGAGGAGGTTCCTATGTCGGGATGCACTTCCAGGTTCTACTCCAGAATGTTTCTGGTTCGGAAGAAGTCCGGGGCGTGGCGTCCCTCCCATCATAGATCTAAGTGCCTTCAAGAAGCACGTATATTCTCCTCACTTCAAGATGGAGACTCCTCGGGGTATAATCGCCTCCGTGAGAGAGGGAATGTGGGCGACTTCAGTAGATCTGAAGGACACCTACTTTCACATCTCCATCTAGAAGTCGGCACGGAAGTACATCCGTTTTACTAGTAACAGAAAGGTCTTCCAGTTCCGGGCCATGCCCTCCGGGCTCACGACTGCACCTTTGGTTTTCACCAAGCTGCTGCAGGTGGTCGTGCGATTCCTGCACTCTCGAAGAATAGATGTTCACATCTATTTCGACGACTCCCTCATGCTTCACCTAGTGAGAGAGTCTCTGGTGCAGGTCACCCGGTTGGTTTTGAAACTCTTACTCAAGGTTGGCTTCATTCCTTCCAGAGAATAGTCGGAGGTTTCCCCATCTAAGGAGTACGCACGCTGATGGACTCATCAGGACAATGTTCTCCGAGGGGTTCCTTTGTCCAAGCCGGTTCCCACTATGATCCTGTACACGAATGCATCCATGACAGGGTGTGGAGCGTATCTCGACGGACGTTGCCAGTCGGGGGAGTGGTATGGGGAACAGCTCTCGGAGCACAGCAATGTGCTCGAGATGAGGGCTATTCTGTTGGCTATGCAGTCTTTTCGGGAGATCCTACATTCCAAGGTGGTTTGTGTGGCTACGGACAACACTACGGTTGTCGCGTATCTGGAGAGATAGGGGGAACCAGGTCTCACACCCTGTGTGCCCTCGCCATCCGCATTCTTTGTCAGGAAATGCAGTTGACAATTTGTGTCAAGCATCTACCAGGCAGGTTGAATGTTGTGGCGGATGCTCTTTCCAGGCGCCGCCAGCCGGTTTTGACAGAGTGGCAACTGAATCCCTCGTTTTTCGAGGGAATTTGTCAGGTGTGGGACAGGCCTCACATAGACCTATTCGCCACTTCACTGAACAATCAGTTGCCAACGTTTGTCTCTCCGGTTCCAGATCCAAGGGCTTGGACCGTGGACGCTCTGTCTCTTCAACCTGGTGGGCAGGGTGCTGCAGAAGTTTCGGGAGCATCAGTGTTCCCTCCTCCTGATAGCGTCCCTGTGGCCGAGGCAGCCTTGGTTTCCGGAGCTTTTGTCGCTTCTGGTGGAAGAGCCCCTGGCTCTTCCTCTCAGAGAGAACCTCCTTCGCCAGCCTCGGTCCAGGACGATGCACTCTCGTCCGAAGATCCTCTACCCTCACGCGTGGAAGCTATCTCAAGAGGCCTCGCTCAGACAGGCTTTTCTAGGGACGTGTCAGATCACATCGCTCGATCAATTAGGTCTTCTTCATCTGCCGTCTACCAGTCACGATGGAAGATTTACTGTGATCGGTGTGTCGGCAGGAAGGTCGAAGGAGGAGTGAGATTCATGACTTGTCTTCTCACCCCTCTTGCCTCCGGTGGTCCAGGAATTGGAATTGCCGTTACCCTTCTCACAGATCCTGCCTTTATGGCTAAGAATCAGGTTCCTGGCTTCTCGCCCGATCCGATTAAGATTCCGTCTTTGACTGCCTTCGTTGGGTCTGAGGAACGAGATAGGTTGATCTGTCCCTGTCGGGCGCTTAGGTTTAACCTCGATAAAACCAGGGGGGGGAGGGGGGGGCCGAGGATCTCGATCTCGTCTGTTTTTGCCTATTAAGCAGGGTCAACAAGATATCTCCTCTCAGTCAGTGTCTAGATGGATCTGTCAGGTCATCAAGTACGGTTACGACCACTCGGATGATCAGGTTCGGGCGTTGTATAAGGTGAGAGCTCATGAGATCAGGGCCCTTGCTGCGTCATGGGCCCTCCTCAATGGGTCCCCCTTTCAGGAGGTCATGTCCGCGGCTTTCTGGCGCGGACAGACTACCTTCACGGATTTTTATCTCCGGTCCTTGGCCTCTCATTCTGATGGATTGTATTCCCTTGGACCGGTGGTGGTTGCACAGTCTGTGGCTGTTCCTCCACAGTAATTCAGTGATTTTAAATAGTATGCTATCAGGCACCACGGTGGTACACCTGCTCGTTTCACGGGGAGGTTTTCCATTTTTTAATTACTTTCGGGGCTTTATTAGGGGGGTTCCTTGAACCTTTTCCCTACCTTGAGCATGTCTCGAGTTTGTTCCGTCAGCCTGGTCTGCCTGGATTCGAAGCCTCCACTACGGTAAGACGAATTCGCATACTAAAGTTATGGTAATTANTGATATAGGTTACATCACGGTAGGGAGGTAGGGATATTTGAATCTTTGTTTTTGGGCTACAAAGATGGGTGTAGGTATTGTATATGCATACTAAACATACTAAAGTTATGGTAAGTATTACATCATAAAAATTGGTTTTACTTCAAAAACCTCAAATCAGAAACCAATTACAACAAAAACTTGATATTGGATTGCATGGACCTTCAGCCAACACTAAACTTTTCTATACTATTTTTACAAGTCTGAAACGTATCCGAAGGTGTAAATATATGTACACTTAGTCTATTTTTCTTACTAAAATACACTCATGCAGGTTGAGAATTTAGAGAAGATCGAAAGAGTCGACAAATGTGGGAACCCCTTGCATAATTTAGGACTTGCGTTTGCGCGACCAAAATAAATCTGTTGCACACATTGCAATATTTGGGATCTTTGTCTTTCACTCTACTTCTAACTTTCTTATGTTTCCTGGTGCACTGCTTGGCGCTACCTCACTTGTGGCTTTAATGTTGAACGTATGCCAAGGTGACGAATGCAATGGGTTTGTCCCCAGGCCAGGACATACCGAATTCCTTAAAATATTATTCACCCGTTGTCAGTATAATATGACCGGGCGGAATACTATACTGGGTGTTTTCAGCGTGATATGTCAGTGAGATAGCACTAAAAAATTGGTATCAGGTAGCAGTGAACGGTAGAAATGGCCCGACTCTGAAAAACAAGACACGTGTCTATGAAATGTAAACATAGCGGATTTACCCTACACAACAGATATATTCATGTATATATATTTGTAAACTGTATTATATTTGCAATACATATAAAGTAGTAGGAAGTGTATAAACTTCTTTTTTCTATGTATGTCACTTGTGTGAAAACCATGGTTACCACATCAAATATTACAAAAAAAATGCCAAAAAAAGCCATTTTTGACCCAATTTTGACTCGCAACTAGTATTATTTTTCCCAAAACTCTGTCTAAAGTTAAAGATTTCATACTTGGTTGCAGAATTATCCGTGTCCCAGTATAGGTCGTTCATCTCGATTTTTTGCAATTTGCGTTGTGTGCTGTTGTCAAAATTTTACTTCCCTTAAAGCTAGCTTTTCATGTGTAGACACCCTTTCGGAAAATGGCCAAAAGTTCAATCTCTAACCAAAAACATTTTTTTTTATACAATGTGAAGCCCACATACATTGTAGCTCACTTCATCATGCTTATACCAATTTTAGAACAGTCAAATTCTTATTATTTTTTTACAGATCATTATACAGGGGTTAGCCATTTAACAAATAAATCACCCACGGTCACAACCCCTCCACTGTACACTGCTACCTCATATCTGCGTTATCGTTAGGAGGCAATTACACCATCATACCCTGTCTGTTACCATGTTAAAGCCTATAAACATTAAACCAATATGTTTCAAAAGATATAACTAAACATCTTGATGGGCTGTCAGGTATTTTATAATGATAATAATTTCCCACGTCATTTGGTCCTTAGTGTGCGGAATACTTGAAAATCTTTCACAGTTATTAATATTCATTACTAATTTGTAATCAATTAGAATGGTTTGGTGTGTGCTTGTTTCTCTGACTTCATTAGTTCCAATTCACATCTTAAGAACAAAGCATCTGTATAGTACAACTCAGGTGACCTTTGAGGCCCATTGTCTTCTTGGTGAGAACGTATGGCTTTTTCAATATTGTTCAGACATCGAAGACTTAAATAGTCAGCGTATAAATGTGCATATTAGATCCAGCATGGAGAAACTACAATGCCAAAAACGCCGCGAAATGTGAAAACAAATCAATTTTAATACGTTTTCGAAACTATCTTTTTAAAGAAAACAAATATCTCAAAATTTGGCTGTGCATTTATTCCATTTTTGTTTTCAATGACAAATTTAGATTTCTCATAGTGTATGACATATACCTTCGTAAAGTGATGGTAAAGTGAGGTAACAGGTCAAATATAATCAACCAAATGGTCACAAAATACTCTTTCATGGAACTGAAACAAATAAATAAAGCCTTATAATATTAACATTTTAACATGCATATATAAAAAACGATAAGCATTGACCACGCTAGCATGATTAAAAGCGCCACTCATATATCTAAACATCTGAAGGTGTTGATTTATAAACACTTTAACATTATAGTACCTTTTTTCGAAATGAGTTAAGTTAACTTGTTTGCGGATAGGTGTGCTTTACTGAAGAAGTTAAACGGGGAATTAGTATGCGTGATTCCTCGGTGATAAAATCAACATCGTCATCCATATTTACTGGATAATCAACTTTCCTGCAAATTTATTGGTAGACTAATTCATAATTCAAATGTAGAACTTATAATGGAAATCATGAGTGTTTAAATAAAGGATAATGATACAAACTAGCATAAAGTGCACCATACCTTATGTACTTGTTACGTACTCATATCTTTTGTTAACGCCACGGCAGAGCAATAATTAATTGATATGTATATTTTTGTCACCGAAACCATAGGAACACATAAGCGTAACCATGAGAATACATTAGCGTTACCATGAGAACACATCAGCAAAGCAAAATTATAGCTTTGATAGATCATTTTTTAAAGGAACCTATACATTGCGAGACTTTTATGAGAGATAATAAGGATGAAATAAACAAAATACAAACAACAACAGTGTTCTGGGTGTAACACTTCAGCAGGCCGTGACTAGACCGAAATTCAAACCCTGAGTTTCAGATTGATAATAACATCGCTCTAACTGATTGAGCGACCTGGTACACGGAAGCGTCGTGGACCAACTGTGCTGCAATTAAATCCAAGCGGAAGTTACATGGAGTTTACTGTATACGTATTTAGGAAAAAAACACAGTGCAGTGGGACAGGGATCCTTGAATGGATAGACTGTTTCTTTATGGCGATATTACACAGTGAAATATGTATTACAGAAAAATATGTCAAACCCGTGATTCTGTTAAATGAAAAACACTTACCATATACATATTTTGGGAACATACTTTGGAAACATAATTTTATAACATTTTAAATAGCTACAGAATGTACTGTGGATTCCATTTTGTATTTGCTTCATTCGTCTTTCGATATATTTTGCAGCATTATAGTGTTTCGATTATATTGAAAAACAGAGATGCCAGGGGTCAAACTCATGGCCTATTTAGGATCCGGCTGCGAATAATGTTGCAAAGCAGGATAAGGAAATACACATTATGAAACTGAAACTAAAATCTCCTGTTAAATGAAATAAATTTAAAACCAAAAGAAAAGCTGTGTATTGACAATTAATAAAGCAGTGAGTCTCAAAGGAACGCACAAAATGAATTTAGGGGTGCAATGTCTCCTTTTCGTTATTTTCGTTTGGAATAGGAAGTGGTAGGATTGCATTCCAGAGGTAGGCATAAAGGCAGCGGAAAGGATACGTTAACACCCGATGGACGATCTGATAATTAGTAACAACGGCAGGATTTGGTAGATCGACGATTGTAATATCTGCCCCACTCCTTATTCTTGCTGTTATATACTTATCATTTTTTGAATCAGCAAGTGAGATCCAAACGCTTAAGGTCTTGCTTTCATAGTAATGCTCTAGGAAAACAACATCCTTCCAAAGCATCACAGGTGTGAAGATTTCCATTATTTTTTTCTCGTTATCTACCAAAAAAAGGAACGATACCCTCTTGATCTGTTTCATCACTACTGTGCTGATGAGCCTCTGGGTCAGTTGGGTCTCTTTCTTGTAGCTGATGTCTTCCAGACACATAGCAAGTTCGCCATTTTCGGTCTTGCACCGAGAAACAGACAAGTACATATTACGTTGTTTGTGATGTGTGTTGTGCTCCTTGTTTAGATGAAACAACTTGATGGTGAACAGTTTTCCAACCCTCCCATAACGATATGTTTTTGCTATGTCAATGTCAATGTCAAGTACAAAATATGTCCTGTTTCTGCTGAGTAAATTGTAATGAAAAACGTTAAAGGTACACACAGTCCTATGCACTTGCTTTTTCGATATTTCCGTGTTCTGGTACACTTCTTCTTTTGTCCTGTGTTGACATACCATGTTCACCGGTTCGACTACAAAACAAAATGAGCACTATCAGAATTGCGTAGCGCGGACATGCGGCTTAAATTTGTGTTCCCCAATTTCTGTAAACCTTTTCTGTTCACAGGAACTATCATAGTGTGGGTAATTCACGAAGGCGGTTGATCGGGATTCAAATATCTGCCCATTTTACATTATGGTTTGGTTAATGTTCAGTCTGCAAATCCAAATATTTATGAATAAGCAGTGTGAAACACAATCTAGTATCAAAGGAAGTAGCAAAACCTAACTGATGTACAGTTACATCTCATATCCCTCAACATATATATATGAACGGTCATAAGGTCGAGGAAAATCTGCAACAGTCTCTGTTGTTGATAACAGATCTTTTTCCTGCCGTTTTCCTAATAAGTCCTCACTTTTTTACATACGAAGCAGTTTCTATTCATCTACCATTGAATGAACTCTATTATAGCCTATAATGTCACAATAATTGAAATGAGAAAGTATCTATAACACTGGAAGATATTAAATACCTTGCTGTAATTTAAACATCCATAGAAAATATTAATAAAACGAATTTGAAGCGTAAATGATCTGTTGTTTCCTCATTTCAACCAATATCAACCTGATAGTAATGCTTGTGATCAACTTTTCACAGTCAAACGTTCCTATGATTGAAGACGCTTATTTCAAACAAATACGTGACAAATTTTATAATGAACTGTCTATCCAAATTTGATTGATTCATTTCATTTTCTGTGTCAATATATATTTGATTGTTTACAATCAATTGATCTTTACAATAAGAGATGATATTTTTACAATCGGCGATTTTTGCTTATTCACATTTTTTAACCTTTTTGACCTATTTCCTCTTAGTTTCTTCTTTCTAAACGTCTTTTTTGTGCATTGTTGTTAGGCTCTAAACGACTGAAATTATCTATGGAACGTAAGACATACAACAACAAACCATTGATAAAGTACTTATTTCAATGTAACATAAATTTGACTTTCAGATTATAAACTTGATTCAGGATTCAGTCCCACTGCCAATATACCTTTTTTAGGGATTATATGATTACATGTAACAGGAAAGTATAAAAGTACAGCACGGTCGTTGATTCTAGCAATAGATCATGTCAATGCTAACCATGTAAGTAGTGCAAATTACAATTGTTGTTATTTGACAGTCCAAACAAACAGTTGATTTTCATACAGCAACATTTCTTATTGGAGCTCGGAATGTTGCATGAAAGACTTGAAAACAAATGCCAAACATTGTATAGTAGAATATTTTCGTTGGCAATTGATGTTTTTGCATCTTTTAAATGTTTTTACATTTTAGTTTAAGTTCGTTGTTATATCGTCTATATAACCCCAATCATACAAACGCGTTCTCCATTTCTTTGTTGACAAGCGGACTCCTTTGATGTTTTCAACGATCTGTTATTAACGATTTTATACGTCAAATTCGTATTTTGATTTGCCAAACTCTTACAATTGTATGTATGCATATCGCAGACGAGAACTTAACCCGTATCCAATCAAACAACGCCTAACAAACGAATATATCAAGAGTCTTTAATGATGTATTTTAAAACAATATTTCGATCCTCTTTGAAAGGATAAATTCTGTAAACGGTTGCAAAAATGTTGCTATTCAATAAGTAGGTTAAATAAATTGAGAGAGAAAAATAAGAAAAACATTAGAAAAACAGCATTATTGTCTTCGATGAATGGAAATTATGATCTGTAACTGATCCCATATCGGGAACTCTGTAGTTATATTAAAACAGGTGGTCGCCTGAGCAGGTTTTCCTATTTATGATAAACACACTGTCAATAGCGACCAGATCTCTCTCAATGAATTAAATCTAAACTTTATTATAATAAAGGTAAAACGTAAGCAGCTGTAGATTTCAAAACAAATAATAGCAAAAGCGATAGTAGTTAAAAAGCCATTTCGAAAATGTGCTTAAGGTTATGTTTACCTTCCTCTGATGGTAGAATGGTGAAGGCGGGAAAGCTAGGGATATATACGCCTATTATGACTAGCATAATCAGAAAGAGCACCAAGGCAGTGTTAACTGGAGACGTCATGGCAACGAAAGCCTGACCGAAGGTCCATAGTTTCCATATCAAAATTTGGAATCGTTCGTTAATGATTCGACCAGGACCCCGCATAGAATCGTCTAAAATGTGAAGGAAAAGCAGAAAACAATTAAAGCAATAAAACTGAAGAAATGCAGTAAATTATTGGAAATTAAAGATTGTTTTGACCCCATATACAAAATGTACATATTTTATGTATCCATAAATATCTCTCCCATAAACACGAGCATTTCTCTATAAGTTATCATTTCCTGAGACGTGTACCCCAGTTAACACACTCTGACAACAATGAAAATAACATGTAGACAAGTAATCATTTTTCGCACTCTACTGTATATAATCTTGGACAAGAAAAGAGTGATCTGTTTTGAATCTTGACACATTTCTGTCGCATAAGATGCAAAGTTTAAAAATAGATATCACATAGCTAAACATCAATGCTCTGTCATTCATAGATCAAAACCAATTGTAATACTTGTTTGATGTTTGAGTCTTTTCGAGATATCTAAATTTAATTTTGAAGTTCTGACAATTAAAAGTATGCAAATAATAATCTAAACCATTACACAACCCCAGTAACCACAGCTACAGTTTGGCTTAATGTATAGTCTGCACTCAATAAACATTGTTCCTGTTAACCAGAGTTCTAATCGCATAACCTTATCGTAGAACGAGTCAAGTTTCCAAAAGTCGACATTGAGATCGACAAACAGAATATATTGGTGGAGTTATAAAAAATTACCGAAACTAGACATAATTGTGATATCATCAACAGTTGATGAGGGCGGGGTTAATAAGGCTTATGCAATTTTCAGTCTGTAACTTTTATTGAACAACCATCTATCAGATTTAAACATGCTCAGCTGAAGTTACCGTTGGGCAATGGGAAAGATTTGTGGTACAATATATCTATGTAATTGAAGTGAAAATGACTCACCGATTTCCCGTGGTTTTTGCATAAATGAAACTTCCAGTGGTATGTATGGAATGTATTCTGGGTTGGTGATGCAGACTTTATGAATACCAACAGTTTCGTCACTGTGGTGAACATTTCTACAAGCTTTACAAAAGAATATTTTACAATTTGGGCAGAATATATCCGACTGCTTAAGACAAAAATGACACGCGTCAACTTGAAGTTTCTTGTCCTTGAACATCATGTTGTGACTTGAGTTATTGCCAATGTGGATTGCTTCACTACAAGATCTACACAGACTTGAGTCACAATCTTTACAGTACGCGTCCGCAAACTTGTTTGGACACTTGTCGCAAAACTCCTCTTTCTCTTTGGTCGAAATAAAAGATTTCAAATCTCTTAAAATATTGTTTTTTTCATAATTTAAAACGTCAGGGGAGGAGGCCTGATAGACTCGCAAGCACAACGGACAGCGGATCACACGTTCATAAGTTGAACTTTGTAGAAATTGATGAGTCATACATTGTTCACAGGTCGTGTGTGTACAGGGATAATACCTAGGTGTATGCATATTTTCATCGAACGGATTTCGGCAAATGGGACATTCTAGAAACTCGGCGCTTAAATCATCAAGTAGTTTTGCGATGTGGTTGGTTGCCATTCTTATTGACCCGTTGAAGCTGAAAAAGAGACAATTTCAATCAAATATGTATAAACGTGTTTATTTTTGTTCAATATATGTTATCTGTGATCTTACAAACATGTAGGTTCGTCTATAAATGTCCTTAGTTGTTTGCTGAGAATCAAACGAATGGCCCCGGCGTTTTTCTCTCATTGACATTGCAATTTTTGACAAAAAGTGTCTTTAGTTCCCTAGTGTATTTTTGGTAATACTTAATTTTCGGCATCAATGTGAACTTAAAGCCTAAAACATGAAACTGTCATTCTTAGCTCTTTGGGGACGGAGTGTTTTTTGGGTGGTCTCCGAGCTAGGAAACACGAGATGTTCGAGCGACCTTCTTTAGCTGTTGAAATCGATTTGTGTACTGATTTCTTTGGTATTCAGAGTCCAGTGTTGCTAAATGTATATGTATCACCCCCTCCCCCC